GGGCACATATAGCATTATATTGTGCGTCCTTGCCTTACAGCGTATGGGCACATATAGCATTATATTGTACGTCCTTGTATTACAGCGTATGGACACATATAGCATTATATTGTGCGTCCTTGCCTTACAGCGTATGGGCACATATAGCATTATATTGTACGTCCTTGTCTTACAACGTATGGACAGATATCATTGTGCGTCCTTGTCTGTATTTTGTCTGAGCATTGTCTGTATGGACACACGTAGCATTATATTGTGCGTCCTTGTCATTATATTGTCCATGAGCGTCCTTGCCTTACAGCGTATGGACACACATAGCATTGAGCGTCCTTGTCTTACAGCGTATGCACAAACATGTAAGTTTACGTCCTTGTCTTACAGCGTATGCACAAACATGTAAGTTTACGTCCTTGTCTCAACATGCTACTTTGTACGTAAGATCCAAATAATATGTGCTTGCTTATCTCAACATCTGACAATGTGTGAAAGACACGTCTATCAAATGTGATGGCTTTTGTAAACATTTCACAATGGCATATTATATAAAACGCTATATGAATGTGTGTCTCAACACCTCACACTGTATCTAAAACACATACCAGTATATCAATGTGTTTGCCCTTGTCTAAACACATATATCAATGTTTGACCTTGTTCAACATCTTATAATGGATCTAAAACACAATATATTTATGCGTGTCATTCTCTCAAAATCTTACAGTAAAACACATACATACCAACGTGTGTTCCTGTCTCAACACCTTATACTGTATACAAGACACATATACAAAAGCATGTCCCTGTAGCAGCATCTTACAATGTACGTATCTTATACTGAATCCCATATATCAAAAGTGTTAACATGTCTAAACATCTTACAATGTATGTAAAACACATAAATCAATCTGTTTCCTTGTCGCAACATCTGATATATATCTCATATAAGACACATATTTCAATGTATGTCCCTGTCTGGTCTCCTGACACTTATATGTTTGAAAGACCCTCGTCGCTAAAACAGCATGCCCGTGCCAGTCTCCACTGTCAAATTACTCCTTGTACTGGTGGCGTTTATTCAAAGGTTACATAAGCTGTAACTGGCGTGATGTTTTATGTCCACGTGACCACGCGCGTGAAAACGTGAGACTTATGAATATCCCTGCATTTGAAGAGTCCAATAACAAGCAGTTGAAACCAGTCTGTGTCATTAGACCTTTATGGGTTTATTGAAACCTTCCAAAACATAAAAACACGAACCCATAAACAAGTAAAAAAAAATTTTAAAAATACAGTTTCCGATATTGTAATTTCAAGCCTGCACGAAAGGAGCTCTTGAATAAGAATTACTTTTAAATTGCGTGCTATATTCGATTTGTTTGCTTGAACGAGGAACAAGAAACTGGATATAATTTCAAACGTCTTCACTAATGACGGAGTAGGGTAGGTGTATTTATAAATGAAACAGGGCCATACTGGATATAAAATACATTTTGACAGTGATAAACACATATTTTTCTATACTGTAAATACTATCCGTCATTCGACTAGGGTTAAGGCTCCTGTTGGTCTCCAAAAGAGCGGATCATTTGTTGATCAAGGGGGAGGGATGAGGTTTTTTTGGGGAAAAAACATAATCTGTTCCCTAAAATGTGGACCGAAGTGGTCATCAGTTCCTCGGGTTTTTTATTCACAATGACATCCTTCACTCGACATCATGGATGACGAAAATGTGTTGTGTGTAAACAGATATGTTTCTCTTTTCATTATCGGAAAAAATGTATATTTTGAAATGTTGGTTAATCAGTAAATGCGCTATCGTGTCACTGGATTGTCTGGTCCATCACTTGATTGTCTTATCATGTCATGTGGCAGGAGTAAGGTCGTGCAACGTCAGGCAAGAAACAAACACTAGTTAAGCAAATAGTGTGAGTGGCACGTGGTACCGGTAGGGTAGGACACGTTTACCCTTGTCGCGAACACCTGGTGTCATCACTGATCATGATGTTTATTCATCCAGTCATATAATTTAATTTCACTGCTATTTTCCCTTCTGTTTCAGAAGGTAATCGCGACTGATTATTCTCTAGTGTTGGCGTATTATATTTACATCAAACGTTATCATTGTTAAGGAACAATAGACAAGTTTATTTGTGCAAAATACATCCCCAAAAGTAACGAAGTCTGTCATACAATTGTAATGTAATGTGAAACATGCACAGGTGCTTACTTTCATGAAACGACTTATTATAGTAGGTTCAAATAAATTTGACTTTAAACAGCATATCAATCTAACATCGCAGAAAACACATTCACTTTCTCACTCACCTTCCAACCAACTAGTATTGACCATTTTTTATTTTTTATTTATCATAAAAAATACTGGGTAGGAAGGTGAGGGAGAAAGTGGATGTGTTTTCTGTGACGACACATTGAATTCACCGCTATTTTGCCTTTTACACCCAGTGTTTCGTGGGATAATCGTGCCTTGACGTGTAATATTGCTCTATATCATTGTGCGTCAACTTGAGGAGGAATGTCAAGCTTTTCTTAAGTATTCACAGTTTGACGAAACCCACGATCACTGGTACATTACATGTTTATATCACCTCTCGACTCAGAATGGAGTGCATATTTATGCTCAATCATTTCAGTATTTAATCGTAGTGATAATATTATTCGATACGGCTCTTGAAGCACTCGCCTTGCGGCAAAACAAACCCAAACCTTTTTTGACAAATATGATATTCATAACACATATTTAGTTCCCATACATCTGACATCAGTTTAAGTTTAAGCCCTATGTCTATAACGTAATGTTATAACGGACCGCGGGTAAGACAACATACGAATGTGTGTGTTTGTACGCCTGGTCCATCATCACGATACACAGGTATATATAATTATATATAACGATCATTGAAGCGACATATGGCAAAATGGTCTCACGTGAATGTCTCTTATGACGCAGCCGGCCTACATGAAACATTAATGTCGCAGACCTGTTTAAAATCCAGGAGAGGCTCGAATTACAACTACTAAAATATTGAAAATAACGATCTCTGTGAACTTTTACTTGGTATTGTATTTCAACAACGTCAATTCTGATCGGGAGACACTGGCGCTTGAACGTAGTTTATGTCGGTGAAAGAAGGTCAAGCTGTTAAATTCGGCGAGGTGGTGAAATGGTGTGTGGGGGTGGGGGTGGGGGGTGGGTTGGGTGGGTACATGAGTACTAGTATATCAGATTGACTTGATAGGTGAGTGTGTGTGTGTGTGTGTGTGTGTGTGTGTGTATATGGATTTTATAGTATTAGCTTCGCAAAATCTATTTCATATTTCACAATTCCTTATAAAGGCAAGATAATCACAATGTCAAGAGGTTGTGGGTAGTGGACCAGTCCATTCAGTATGTAGGGATGACAGGACAAAACAGACGCTGATGAGATTTCCATATTCATAAAATCAACCATTCATTCACTATAACATTCAAATATAAACTTTCATTAACACACAGTAAAACATTAAACATGTTTTATTGGCATGCAATGTGTGCAAATTACCAATCCGATGCGAATAACTTTACAATCAACTATGTCTGCCAGTGGATCATATACGTGGATTAAAGTATCATCTACGTAGTCGAGACATGATTAGATTGTTGCATTATATCAAGTCAGTCCTAGAAGTTATAAAACCTTTTGGAGTTTTAATTCATGTTGCACGTCAACTCCCAAAAATAAACGTGTTACTTTATTGATTAGGCAGGGGTACGACATTACTTTCGATGTGGGTTACGAAATGTCTCATTTTAAGAGTTACGTACTCGTTTGTTTTACGAAATTACAACACCCAACTGAGATACCATGCTGTAGTTTAACATGGATACCCTCTCCGACACAGTATACTCCGAGCAATCCAGTCCTTGTTGCTTCCCGTTGAGGCCGACCGCCAGAAAGGGTAACAACCATTACGAACTCTTAACGTCTTTTGTGACGCCGAACTCATGGAACTTTGAAGAAGAGATAATTAGAAATGCGTTTCTTTGTATCGTCCAGGCTCCGTATATGTATATTCGGTTATTTAGATGACGGTTATACCAGAGGTTAACATGATCCACTTCTTGTCAAATTCCCGGGTTTAATTTCCAACATGGGTATAAGACTTGTAATGGTGTTCTGCTCTGATATTGCTTTCAATACCTCTCAGGTGACACAAACCACAATCTTTTTTTAATAATGAAAGCATCGAGTGTACACTATAGTACGCCCTTACCTAAAGTATTGGTATGTGCTTCTAAAAAAGTAATATTATCCAGTCAATGTGAATTAATTGATGAAACCATATTTACAAGTACCAAATAGAAACTTGTAGGCAAATCCCATCTGTCGACATTTTGTGAAATACAATATAACATAGTACCGTAGTTGATTAAAGTAGTTCTATTAACTATCAAAATGTTTGTAATTAGTAATGGTCACAACCGATGCCATATTGTCCTAGCCTTAGCATTAGATATGTGAGCAGATTAAGATTTTACCATATAAGGTCATGTTCTCATAACAGTTGGTTATATTTTCTCCGAGTCTTGACACGATTCCTCCGAAATTTTATTCAACTCTCGGTGAGAAAGAAATATGAATATTCGTAGTTCCTTACAAATACAATCAAATGTGTAAACAAAGGTGTTTTCCTCAGCGGTGACAGGCTAAATCTCTGACGTTGATCAGCTGAGAGATCACGCAACGCTAAAAAGAATGACGTGTTTCTGTATCCTTTTAGTCGGTTCAAAAAATGGTACTACCCAGCGGGTGATCGTGTGAGAAAAGCTTACGAGGCGCGGGAAGAGTGAGGGAGACGAACAATTGTCGCGTCCGTGCTGCCTCTGTCACAACCGCTGCTTGCACAGCCGATCATTGTGGCGTTTCGCTGAGATAATCGATAGCAGTTGAAACAAACATAGCTCTTACGAAGTAGCAAATCGAACATATAAATGAGCCTACCGTACACCATGGAAAGAAGCAACAGCTCCACCAGCACAATAGTAACACTCCTCATGTTTGCTTCTTATGGCGCCATCACATCCCGAAAGACTGGGATAATCTTTTCCGGCGAGCAGGCTTCCATCAATAGGTACCTATAGTCCATATATGAGCAGAACTGCGCGCTCCAACTGTCGTCTGCCGCTGCACGCGCCACGAGAACGACTGTCGTCTGGTGCGCTTATCGCTTGTTACAGGCAATACATAGTGAACATTAGGCGATCGACAAAAATCGAAAATCGCCTATGACCGTTAATACGTTTACGAGCACCGTTCGACCAGCCCGCTTGTCGATGATTTCTAAAGTGGGTTGGGAGTACTTCCTAAATGAACTGGGAAGTACCAAGCATGGAGGGGTGAATCATTATTTGCCAAACATCGGCTTAGTGGCCTCAGACCCTGCAAAGCTCCCCCAAGCTAGGGATGCGAGACTCCTTCGTCCTCTTCATCAATACGTGAAGCACTATTCATTAACCCATCAACGGCGTGTTTCAGTTAAAGATGTGAAGCAGACGACACCTAAGTAAGTTTGGAAACTGGCACAATCGCTGGTAAATTTGTAAGCAGAAGTGAGACCGTGCTATGAACTCGTAGAGTTCTGTTGTCATCCCGCTCAAAATTGCAGACGACAAATACTGTTAGAGGAAATGACAAGGTGTAGACGACGGCTAATGCATTGATTATATCGGAATATGGTCTGGAAGAAACTGCGTCATTGATAAAAGAAAAAAAGCCCAGACCCATCAACATGATCCTAATTCTAATCTAATACTCAAGAAATATATCGCAGTGAAGAGAGACACGGGCCTGTCTCTGTAATTGTTGATATTAGACGAAAAACACTTTGGATGTGCTCCGGAAATATCGCTTTCCCCTAATAACCGTATACAGTCGAATGTGGCAGGCGACACAAGACTATGTCCCCTCATGTCATTTTATACATCCCTTGGCCATGCAATTGTCTGGTACAGAGAATATTTTGCTCTATAGCACACACCTGTCTGCTGCAAGGAATATGTTGCTCTACAGCACACAGTCGTATGCTTCAGGGGATCTCTTGCTATACATTACACAGCTGTTTGCCAATGGCGACTTCATGCTCTACTTCATACAGTCATATACTATTCGCAATACATTGCTCCATACAACAATCTGTTACACGAGATCCATCAAAATCAAGCAACAATGTGCTACATAAGATCCCTCAAAATCAAGCAACAATGAGTTACATAAGGTCCCTATAAATCAAGCAACAATGTCCTACATAAGATCCATCTAAATCTAAATCAAGCAACAACGTGCTACGTGAGATCCCTCCGTCTAAAGCAATACTGTTCTACATGAGATCAATCCATCTCAACCAACAATGTGCTACATGACCCCCCCCCCCCGACCCCCCCCCCGTCTCAAGTAACAATGTGTTTATAATATCCCTCCATATCAAGCAACAATTTCCTACTTAAGATCCATCTAAATCAAGCAATAATGTACAACATAAGATCCATCTAGATCAAGCAACAATGTGCTACATAAGATCCATCAAATTGAAGCAGCAATGTCCCACATAAGATCCATCATAATCAAACAACAATGTCCTACATAAGATCCATCTAGATCAATCAACAATGTGCTACATAAGATCCCTCAAAATCAAGCAATAATCTGCTACATAAGATCCCTTAAAATCAAGCAATAATCTGCTACATAAGATCCCTTAAAATAAAGCAACAATGTGTTTCATAAGGTCCCTATAAATCAAGCAACAATGTCCTACATAAGATCCATCTAAATCAAGCAACAATGTGCTACATAAGATCCATCTTAATCAAGCAACAATGTCCTACATACGATCCATCTAAATCAAGCAACAATGTCCTGCATAAGATACTTCCATATCAAGCAACAATTTCCTACATAAGATCCATCAAAATCAAGCAGCAATGTCCTACATAAGTGCCATCAAAATCAAGCAACAATGTCCTACATAAGATCCATCTAAATCAAGCAACAATGTCCTACATAAGATCCATCTAAATCAAGCAACAATGTCCTACATAAGATACCTCCATATCAAGCAACAATTTCCTAAATAAGATCCATCAAAATCAAGCAGCAATGTCCTACATAAGTGCCATCAAAATCAAGCAACAATGTCCTACATAAGATCCCTCTAAATCAAGCAACAATGTGCTACATAAGGTCCCTCTAAATCAAGCAGCAATGTGCTACATAAGATCCCTATAAATCAAGCAACAATGTCCTACCTAAGATTCCTCTAAATCAAGCAACAATGTCCTTCATAAGATCCCTCTAAATCAAGCAGCAATGTGCTACATAAGATCCCTCTAAATCAAGCAACAATGTGCTACATAAGATCCCTCTAAATCAAGCAGCAATGTGATACATAAGATCCCTCTAAATCAAACAGCAATGTGATACATAAGATCCCTCTAAATCAAGCAGCAATGTGCTACATAAGATCCCTCTAAATCAAGCAGCAATGTGCTACATAAGATCCCTCTAAATCAAGCAACAATGTGCTACATAAGATCCCTCTAAATCAAGCAAATATGTGCTACATAAGATCCCTATCAATCAAGCAATGTGCTACATAAGATCCATCTAAATCAAGCAGCAATGTCCTACACAAGATCCCTCTAAATCAAGCAGCATTGTGCTACATAAGATCCCTCTAAATCAAGCAACAATGTGCTACATAAGATCCCTCTAAATCAAGCAGCAATGTGCTACATAAGATCCCTCTAAATCAACCAGCCATTTGCTACATAAGATCCCTCTAAATCAAGCAGCAATGTGCTACATAAGATCCCTCTAAATCAAGCAGCAATGTGCTACATAAGATCCCTCTAAATCAAGCAGCAATGTGCTACATAAGATCCCTCTAAATCAAGCAAATATGTGCTACATAAGATCCCTATCAATCAAGCAATGTGCTACATAAGATCCATCTAAATCAAGCAGCAATGTCCTACACAAGATCCCTCTAAATCAAGCAGCATTGTGCTACATAAGATCCCTCTAAATCAAGCAACAATGTGCTACATAAGATCCCTCTAAATCAAGCAGCAATGTGCTACATAAGATCCCTCTAAATCAACCAGCCATTTGCTACATAAGATCCCTCTAAATCAAGCAGCAATGTGCTACATAAGATCCCTCTAAATCAAGCAGCAATGTGCTACATAAGATCCCTCTAAATCAAGCAGCAATGTGCTACATAAGATCCCTCTAAATCAAGCAGCAATGTCCGACATAAGATCCCTCCATATCAAGCAACAATGTGCTACATAAGATCCCTCTAAATCAAGCAGCAATGTGCTACATAAGATCCCTCTAAATCAAGCAACAATGTCCTACATAAGATCCTTCTAAATCAAGCAACAATGTGCTACATAAGATCCCTCTAAATCAAGCAGCAACGTGCTACATAAGATCCCTCTAAATCAAGCAGCAATGTGCTACATAAGATCCCTCTAAATCAAGCAGCAATGTGCTACATAAGATCCCTCTAAATCAAGCAGCAATGTGCTACATAAGATCCCTCTAAATCAAGCAGCAATGTGCTACATAAGATCCCTCTAAATCAAGCAGCAATGTGCTACATAAGATCCCTCTAAATCAAGCAGCAATGTGCCTCGTGGAACAACATCCTCTCACACAACAGTCAGCTACACGAGATCTATTCCTCCATCCATTTCATGCAACAATGTGCTACACGATATCCGTCCCTCTGAGTTACGTATTGACGGTCGGCAGATGTACCAGTGACAGATGGCGAACGACAAATCGAATTAGGAGCATCTTCTGTAAACAAATACCACAGATGGATCGATATCTATTTCTTCAGAGACTCCAGCTGGTAATAACCCAGGCTCACAACGAGCGCTACCCCAATACAGTTAACTCGTAGCGGATCCGACAACACTTGTCAGTCGGTAGAGTTTTCTGAACCTTCGGTAGTATGTCTGTCACCTCTGATGAAATTAGTTAGTCCAAATCAATACGAGGGGATTTCCTATTGATATTTGCACGCTCAGGAAACATTTGCGGAACCGGTTGTGCAAAGCATTATCAAGTTACAGGAAAACACGGAGACCTATTATTTTGTTTCTAGGCACACGAAGCATGATATTTAATAAACTTGAACGGTTATTGACATATCTATTGATCTTAAAGGAACATGAGCGGAAAATGTGATCCGGCCTTCGCTGTGTGTTCTATACATAGAGCTTATGACATGCATTAATGGAACCACGTGTATCTAAAGTGTGTTTTAGTACATATGTATTTAAAGCTTCCTTTAAAATTATTAACCTTTCAATTGCAACTAAATTACCTATTGTCACTGTTTGACCTACAAAACGATGAGCTTTTTATCGTCATAAATTAGTGCGCTCATTCCAGGAAAACTTAAGAACTGATTGTAATAAAAATCGCTATCGAAGATAGAAGTATAGAATCATATTGTACATATGCGGTATTAGAAATAAACATTGAATAGGAATAAACACTAGGTTCGCTAAATACAAGGTAAATTCCTAATAGAGGATATTTACAATCTCGTTCTTAAATAAAATCTTCGTAGATATTTCAATCACAAACAGTTCACAAATAGTTCACCCATAGCAAGTCAACCAGTGAGAACAGGCAATGTAGTTCTAACTGAAAGGTAAATAAATTTAAAGGAAACGTTTTGAAATAACAGTGAGTGAGTGAGTTGGGTTTAACGCCGCTTTTAACAGTATTCACGCTACATCGCGGCGTGTCAGCTTAATGTGGGAGGAAAGCCCGAAGTGATGCAGGTCTTAGGCGTTTACCACTTCGGTGAAACCCACGAGCACGGGTATGGTGCTGACAAACCTAGAAACATAATCGGGGCAAACCGGGATTCGAACCCGCAATCATAGGTTTCTGGCGTGCCCAAGGGACGCAACTCTTCACAGCGAATCGCGGCCCCCTTTTTGAAATAACAAATATATTTTTGTCTGTATTCGTCTTTTGCGGCCACACATCGGTCCGCCCGCAAGAGTAATTGTTCCTTTTTAACGGCAATGAAGGAAAGTAGAATTTCGGACTCAGTTTTAAGGCCAACTTTTTAATTTCGGGAAAGGACCGCAGATGTCTACAATTACATGTACGAAAGAGAGGTTGGGTTCCAGGCATGTAACAGTTCATTTGGAGCTCTTATTCCTTACATTGGTTCCGTTACTGGGTTGCATCAGGCAAAGCATGTCTTTCCATCTTGATGTGTTTGTGCCTTCATGGTGGGACTTCTATTGTCGACCCCATACAATTATCTAAACGAGGGTACTTTCTTAATGGGGCGGTCTGAAAATGGGGCGTGGTATTTGAGGGTGAAGGAAAACGAATGAGCGAGTGAGTTGGGTTTAACGCCGCTTTTAACAGTATTCCAGTTAGATCACGGCGTGTCAGCTTAATGTGGGAGGACAGCCCGAAGTGATGCAGGTCTTAGACGTTTACCACTTCGGT